CCCTAAACCTGAAACCCTAAACCGCCTAAACCCTAACAGATGGCTGAACTCGGTTGCACAGCGGTTCCTTCTCCTGACAAACTCTGCCTTCCTCAAACCCAAAAGCCCCAAAACCCTGAAACCCCAAACAACATGTCCCAAATCTGTGAACGCAACCTGCCTGCAGGAAAGCTGACGGACGAGTCCGACGATTCCTCTGAAGAGCCCTAGATTCTGGGTATTGCCCCCACTCAACAGTTGGATAGTATTCATAATATAAAGATATAAGGACCTTAATAGTAGCCTTATTATAGACTGTTACTGTATGGGGGCCGTACCCAACCTAGATTCCTAAATTTGATTCAGTGCTCAGTTCCCTGAGGCCTTCGTTTCATTTTGAAGGCCTTGGCTCTGGCCCCTGTTGTGTGTATATTATATAGGGGCCTTAATAACTACAATAGGGTTCCTCTAGGGGTTCCTTTACAGGGATCTATAGGGGTTGCTATAAGGGGTCTATAACAGGGTCTAGGGTTTGCTCTGGCCAAGTCGTGGTCGCAACCTCATGGACGTCTAATATAGGGGCCTCAATAATGACTAATACCATTTTGCGGGTTCCTTGTTATAGTTATAGTATAATGGGCCCCAAAACCCTGTTCTAATTATTGAGGCCCCTTATATTACAGTCCCACAGATCGACCACAAACCTTCTTCGAAAACCTCAATCTTTGTGTCATCTCAATCCATGTAAACTCTGAAATAGTAAGCCCCAGGCTCCAGACTTATCATATCTGCCGATGATGAAGGCTCTTTTTCTGCTGGAATTCGAGGCTGTTGTCGCAAAAGGCACGGCCCGACTCCGTCCGGGTGATGGCGAACGGTCTTACCTGGCACGTGAGGCCTCTTTGGAAGCCTCACACTCAGGAAGAGAGTCCATGGCTTGGTGGCCCCGTGATTCTATGCCAAACCCTAAACCCTAAATCTTAAGCCCTAAACCCCGAACCCTGACTGTCGTCACTAAGTTTATGGGGTTCTCAGCTACCAACATTAATGCGAGCGGAGAGAATACACCAAGCGTCTCAACCTGGAGCTCGATGGCATCCATCAAATTTCCGAACATGCTCTTGAAATTCTGCACGGAAGTCCTCAGGGAGCCCGCTGCCACTTGGTTCAGGAATATACCTTGCATCATAACAGTAAGCCCCTTATGCTTCAAATCATGTGTTGAAGCCACATATACCTAAGTGAAGCCCGGATACGTCGAATCATAATTCATCACATTAGTCGTATTCCTTAAATAAGGTGTATTGGGCTTTCGGTCAGGAGGGGCCGTCGAGGTCAACGCAGCTACAGCGGCCCCCGGGTGGTTTCACCTACTGCAGACTAAATGTGCCTGCAGGCTTGGCACGATGTTCACAGCAGAGGTCCCCCAAAAAGTGCAATGCCGCTTGATGAAGGAGGACACCTAAGACATAGCATAAAAGCCACCTTTCTGTTTACTTCAGGTATGTTCCGTCATCAAAGGGGTATTGGGCTCTCTGGGTCATTGCAGCCGCCACAAATGCGGAGAGCGATTTGTTCGGAAGAGCCCTTCGGATCTACTGGCTGCTTCCAGACCTTCCTTTCCTGACCTCCGAAGCTTT